AGCCACTCCACCGTCACCGGAAGGACCACACTCGTCGAAGTCACCAACATCTGCCCACGCAGAAGAAGAAAGCCGGGAACGCTTAGGCTCGGGCCGCATATCCTCAGACCCGGAGGCAGACTCAGCGACACGCGCAACACTAGCCGGGCGAACCGTCGCACGCCGCAGTATCGCAGCATCTTCAACCACACGGGGCACGAGGCCAGGCACAGGAGGAAGCGCCGGATCCACCCCAGCTCCCAGCACAGCCAGAACAGATGGCGAGGGTGCAGGGACCTGGACAGATGCAGCAGAGGAAGAACAGGAAAGACGAGGGGTCCGAGCAGACGGCAGTCGGAAGAGGCTCAGGGACACCAGCCGGAGCAGGCTGAGCACTAGGCGAGGACACTACCACCGGAGGAGAGGCGACAACAACAGGGGGCGCAACAGGCGGAGCAACAGCTGACACAGAGGGCACCTCCACAGCTGAAGAGACATCCACATCCACCAAATCATCCCCCACAGGAAGCAGCGGAAAATCCTCCTCACTGAAGAGATTCACTGGTGCAACGGCAGGCGCAGAACAGTCAGCAGCCTGATGGCCCAAAAGGCCACAACGATAACACGTCCGAGGCTGGCGGGGGTAAAATACCCGAACGTTGTACCCCATAAGGCGCACAGAGGACGGAATATCTGCCCGGAGTCTCATGCCCAGGGTGCGAATGTCAGTCCTCACACCCTTAAGTGGACTGGAAGACACCACGTTCATCCGCACACTAACCACTGCGCCAAACTGGCCGAAATACCGCCGTAGCAGACCCTCCGGAAACTCCAAGGGAGCCCCATGCACAGTGACGTAAGTGAGGGCACCACTACGATCAGAGAGGGTCACAGTGCCCGCACCATCCGGCAGGGGTAATGCCCGCCCCTCGTATCGCCGGAGAAAATCGCGATACGCCATCTCCTCCATGAATTTCACTATCGCCCAACGGGCCATTACCAACTCGACCCCATAAATTGCTAACACAGGGATAGATAGCAAATCACAAGCCAGCGCAATCTCCGGCTAACCGGCCCGCACAGAGAATTCGAGTCCCACAGACTGAGCGTGGACGATAGGGGTGAGAGGGAAGAGGGACCCCCATCGTAACTCCACGTCAGCACAGGCGGGCAGAGACACACCCACCCCCCAACCAGCCAAACTGGTAAACAAGCACCAATTGCCGGAGCACCGAAGCAACACGTCTGCCACCTACCGAAGCTAGGGCCAGACTCAACGTCTACTCCTTGCCAGGGGTAATTAGTACAATTTATACAGATCATGCTAGGTACCATATCCATGAGGGTCTCATTGTTGGAGGTCCAGTAATCTGGCAGTAATCATAGGTTGATCACTCATGGTCAACCGACCATGGGTGATCGGTTGACACGGTCATCTATGGTCGTGTCAACACATGACACGTTGTGTCATGTGTTGGGAGGTCATTAACATATGGGTATGTTAATGACACCAGTGTCGTGTGTGTTCTGGAGAGGGAATTTATATATGTATATGTTTATATTGCTGCCTTGTACTGTGTTTGCTTGGTGAAATCATAATCACGAAATTAGGGTTTTAGAGAGTTAATTACGGGATAATTAACTTCACTAAGGGAATTCACATTGCTTTGATGAGAGCAGTGTCGAGTGGGTGACAGTGTGTCGAGTTACTGAAGTTCGTTACGAACTAATTAATTGTCCATGGGGCAATTAATTGGTTACTCTAGTTAATTAGGATAATTAACGCCAGCTGTCGGGAGGGCGACAGCGTGACTGAGTTAGCGTATTTTCATTGCTGAAGTAAATATCTGTCTGTCGGACCGTTAATTACTTACTCGGGCTAATTAGGGTAATTAGCATCCATCAAAGTGATTCCTCACAGTAATTAATTGCAGAAGTATTGGGCAGCGATGTAATTGTATAAATTTATTATTGTTAAGGGAGCAGAGCGGACAGCACGCTGGACTTGTGATCCTGTGGTCATGGGTTCGATCCTAAGCGCCAGCGAGAAACAATGGGCAGAGTTTCTGTCACCCTATGCCCCTGTTACCTAGCAGTAAAATAGGTACCTGGGTGTTAGTCAGCTGTCACGGGCTGCTTCCTGGGGGTGGAGGCCTGGTCGAGGACCGGGCCGCGGGGGACACTAAAAAGCCCCGAAATCATCTCAAGATAACCTCAAGATTGTTGCCGAACCACGCGTGAGACATTATTGTGTGTGTGTCCGAGGAGGGCCGGACGACTGTGATGACAGTAATTACCATAGTGCAGACTACTGCAGGCATATTGGGCAGTGACATTTATTTATTTATATGTCACAGTGTGACATGTGGTTCCTTGGTGTGATCTTTATTTGTGACGATTTAAGGATTCATTGATGTTAATTAGGAATAATTATCTACACAAAGGGGGTTGCACATTGCATTTGATGGAAGAACTTCTCAGAGAGTAGCAGCACTGAGTTAACGAGATAAGTTTCAGGTGCAATTATCTGTCCGTGGGACAGCTAATTGATCATTCTAGCTAATTAGAGTAATTAGCACCTGCATAGTGGATTCACACAATGGTGAGGGACTGTTGAAGGAGCTACGGTACTTGAGTTAACGTAATTTGCTCTTGACTAATTATCGGTCTGTGGGATGGCTAATTAGTGGCTCAAGTTAATTGTGGGTAATTAACATCACATGGTTTGACTGTCGGATGGCGAAATCAATTGGGCTAGCATAATTCGTTGGACTAAATATATCTGTCTGTGGGACAGTTGATTAAGCACTTAGGTTAATTATGGGTAATTAACACCTCTACCATGAATTCAGTGTATTGATGAGACCTGCTTAGGCAGTGTGAATTGGGATCTATTCTGTATAGATAATTATTGGTCCAAGGGACAGGTATTTAATTGCTCAAGGTTAATTAGGGGTAATTAAGCCTTACTAAAGCAAGCTGCCACCCTCTCAACAGTCATAGACTGTTGAGAGGGTGGCAGCTTGGTTAGCGTAACTCGTTTGGGTCAAACAGTCTCCGTGGTGTAGTGGTAAGACACTCGCCTGGCGTTCCGCGAGCGCTATGTCATGGGTTCGTATCCTGGCCGGGGAGGATTTACTGGGCGCAATTCTTAACTGTAGCCTCTGTTTAACGCAACAGTAAAATGTGTACTTGGATGAAAAAACGATTCTTCGCGGCCGGGGATCGTATTCCAGGGACCATAGGATTAAGGACTTGCCCGAAACGCTACGCGTACTAGTGGCTGTACAAGAATGTAACAACTCTTGTATATATCTCAAAAAAAAAAAAAAAAAAAAAAAAAAAAAAGTGACTGATAGGTCAACTGTGATGTAATTGGGCGAGCGAGTTATTGTTTAACAGTGTACTTGTCTGTGGGAGACAAGTGTTTGTGTTTAAAGTAAACTGTTGCTGACTGCTGTTGACCGTCGATTAACGTAATTAATCACAGATCAATTACGGTAATTAATTAAGGCATTTGCTTGATTATCGTCTTTGGAGACGAGAGTTAAAGTATCTTGGGTCAACCTGTCTTCTTAAAAATAATGTCGCTTTTGGCCGTTTGCCCGTATGGCCGAAAATGGACATAGTTTCAAAATGAAAAAAAATGAAAATTATATTTTGGATTTTTTTCCTTAAAACAGTAAGTTAAGGGTCCGCTGGTAGGTTAGGTGGGCAGGAAATTCTCCTTAAGTTTCAAAACTTTATGAAAAATGTTAATTGAAAGTTTCCTCTCCTAACATTTCCGAGTAGGCTGGAGGACTCAAACAGAAAACGGGACAGTACATCACTTTCGTGAGCCGATTTCATTTAAAATTACGTCCATTTTTGGCCATAGTGCGCATGAGAGCGAAGAGCGACGTTATTTTTAAGAGGACGGGTTACTCATGAACGGTTGAAGTCTCGATGGTCAGCTCCCGCACTTCAATGGTCTCTTGCCTAAAGTACAAGCTCTACACCACCATGTTGGCCAAACACTCCTTTCTGTTTAAGGTCAACCTCCTAAGAGAGGTGAACGTAGATAAAAATCTCACAATGGTAGACTCTAGGCCCCCTCTCAACGGGAGACATCTCCCGTCACGCAGGGTGCAGTCGCACCTCCACAGAAGATACTGGTAATGGCTCAAAAGGGCCACAACTTACGGGCCAGCCCGTGCCACCTTTTGGCTTAAATCAATCAATCAATCAGACTTCAATGGCTGGGGCCAGAGGCAAAGATTCACTGACTTCACCGACCTTTATGACTGTGTGCTTGACTGGTGTCGGTGTGTGTGATTGACGGCTTTGTTTGGGTGTGCTGGTATGATGTAGCCTGGCAGCCCGTCCCCCAAACAAGACCCAACAGTGATGGGTCCCCCAAACAAGACCCAACAGTGATGGGTCCCCCAAACAAGACCCAACAGTGATGGGTCCCCCAAACAAGACCCAACAGTGATGGGTCCCCCAAACAAGACCCAACAGTGATGGGTCCCCCAAACAAGACCCAACAGTGATGGGTCCCCCAAACAAGACCCAACAGTGATGGGTCCCCCAAACAAGACCCAACAGTGATGGGTCCCCCAAACAAGACCCAACAGTGGGGTCCCCCAAACAAGACCCAACAGTGATGGGTCCCCCAAACAAGACCCAACAGTGATGGGTCCCCCAAACAAGACCCAACAGTGATGGGTCCCCCAATCAAGACCCAACAGTGATGGGTCCCCCAATCAAGACCCAACAGTGATGCCATGTACCCGCCAAGCCCCCTGTTTATCCACGCGTCTATGGGGACGATCGCTAAATGTAATGGACTTGAGTCGAGGACGGGTTGAGCCGAGTCACTCAGGGAGTGGGACGGGAGTACGCAGGGAGTGGGAGGGGTGGGGTAGCAGGAGGGGGATCAGGGGGGGGAGAGCACGATGGGGAGTGACTGGGGTTCAGGAGGGGTGAGGGAGGGAGAGACGGGGGTGCAGGAGGGGGGCTTACAATGAAACAAGCGGCCGGCCACTAACCACACCACCGCCGTGGGAACAACACAACCACTCCAGGTGAGGAGAGTGGTCAGGGTGAGGTGCACCACCACGGCTCCTGCTGCCTCACGGACCAGAGGATATCACACAACACTGCTGAACAACTGGGTAGGTGACTGTACTTTGTGGTGCTCAAGTGTTGGGGTGGAGTATCTTGTTGGTGTGGTGTAGCTGGGGTGGTGGTGTGTTAAGGGGTCCTGGTCTGGTGAGGCTGGGGTGGTGGTGTGTGAGGGGGTCCTGGTCTGGTATGGGTGAGGCTGGGGTGGTAGTGTCTGTGGGGGTGAGGGGGTCCTGGTCTGGTGGGGGTGAAGCTGGGGTGGTAGTGGTGGGGGGGTCCTTGTCTGGTGGGGGTGAGGCTGGGGTGGTAGTGTGTGAGGGGGTCCTGGTCTGGTGGGGGTGAGGCTGGGGTGGAAGTGTGTGAGGGGGGTCCTGGTCTGGTGGGGGTGAGGCTGGGGTGGTAGTGGTGAGGGGGTCCTGGTCTGGTGGGGGTGAGGCTGGGGTGGTAGTGTGTGAGGGGGGTCCTGGTCTGGTGGGGGTGAGGCTGCGGTGGTAGTGGTGGGGGGGGGTCCTTGTCTGGTGGGGGTGAGGCTGGGGTGGTAGTGGTGAGGGGGTCCTGGTCTGGTGGGGGTGAGGCTGGGGTGGTAGTGGTGAGGGGGTCCTGGTCTGGTGTGGGTGTGGCTGGGGTGGTAGTGGTGAGGGGGTCCTGGTCTGGTGGGGGTGAGGCTGGAGTGGTAGTGGTGAGGGGGTCCTGGTCTGGTGGGGGCGAGAGGTCCTGGTCTGGTGGGGTGAGGCTGGGGTGGTAGTGGTGAGGGGGTCCTGGTCTGGTGGGGGTGAGGCTGGGGTGGTAGTGGTGAGGGGGGTCCTGGTCTGGTGGGGGTGAGGCTGGGGTGGTAGTTGTGAGGGGTCCTAGTCTGGGAGGGGGGTGAGGCTGGGGTGGAAGTGGTGAGGGGGTCCTGGTCTGGTGGGGGTGATGCTGGGGTGGTAGTGGTGAGGGGGTCTTGGTCTGGTGGGGATGAGGCTGGGGTGGTAGTGGTGAGGGGGTCCTGGTCTGGTGGGGGTGATGCTGGGGTGGTAGTGGTGAGGGGGGGTCCTAGTCTGGTAGGGGTGAGGCTGGGGTGGTAATGGTGAGGGGGTCCTGGTCTGGTGGGGGTGATGCTGGGGTGGTAGTGGTGAGGGGGGTCCTGGTCTGGTGGGGGGAGGCTGGGGTGGTAGTGGTGAGGGGGTCCTGGTCTGGTGGGGGTGAGGCTGGGGTGGTAGTGGTGAGGGGGTCCTGGTCTGGTGGGGGTGAGGCTGGGGTGGCAGTGGTGAGGGGGGTCCAAGTCTGGTAGGGGTGAGGCTGGGGTGGTAGTGGTGAGGGGGGTCCTGGTCTGGTGGGGGTGAGGCTGGGGTGGTAGTGGTGAGGGGGGTCCTGGTCTGGTGGGGGTGAGGCTGGGGTGGTAGTGGTGAGGGGGGTCCTGGTCTGGTGGGGGTGAGGCTGGGGTGGTAGTGGTGAGGGGGTCCTGGTCTGGTGGGGGTGAGGCTGGGGTGGTAGTGGTGAGAGGGTCCTGGTCTGGTGGGGGTGAGGCTGGGGTGGCAGTAGTGAGGGGGGTCCAAGTCTGGTAGGGGTGAGGCTGGGGTGGTAGTGGTGAGGGGGGTCCTGGTCTGGTGGGGGTGAGGCTGGGGTGGTAGTGGTGAGGGGGGTCCTGGTCTGGTGGGGGTGAGGCTGGGGTGGTAGTGGTGAGGGGGGTCCTGGTCTGGTGGGGGTGAGGCTGGGGTGGTAGTGGTGAGGGGGGTCCTGGTCTGGTGGGGGTGTGGCTGGGGTGGTAGTGGTGATCGAGGGGGTCCTGGTCTGGAGGGGAGTGAGGCTGGGGTGGTAGTGGTGATCGAGGGGGGTCCTAGTCAGGTGGGGGTGTGGCTGGGGTGGTAGTGGTGATCGAGGGGGTCCTGGTCTGGAGGGGAGTGAGGCTGGGGTGGTAGTGGTGATCGAGGGGGGTCCTAGTCAGGTGGGGGTGAGGCTGGAGGGGTAGTGGTGAGGGGGTCTTGGTCTGGTGGGGGTGAGGCTGGGGTGGTAGTGGTGAGGGGTCCTAGTCTGGTGGGGGGTGAGGGGGTCCTGGTCTGGTGGGGGTGATGCTGGGGTGGTAGTGGTGAAGGGGGTCCTGGTTTGGTGAGGGTGAGGCTGGGGTGGTCGTGGTGAGGGGGTCCTGGTCTCGTGGGGGAGAGGCTGGGGTGGTAGTGGTGATCGAGGGGGTCCTGGTCTGGAGGGGAGTGAGGCTGGGGTGGTAGTGGTGATCGAGGGGGGTCCTAGTCAGGTGGGGGTGAGGCTGGAGGGGTAGTTGTGAGGGGGTCTTGGTCTGGTGGGGGTGAGGCTGGGGTGGTTGTGGTGAGGGGGGGGGGGGTCCTGGTCTGGTGGGGGTGAGGCTGGGGTGGTAGTGGTGAGGGGGGTCCTGGTCTGGTGGGGGTGAGGCTGGGGTGGTAGTGGTGAGGGGGGTCCTGGTCTGGTGGGGGTGTAGCTGGGGTGGTAGTGGTGAGGGGGTCCTGGTCTGGTGGGGGTGAGGCTGGGGTGGTAGTGGTGAGGGGGGTCCTGGTCTGGTGGGGGTGTGGCTGGGGTGGTAGTGGTGAGGGGGTCCTGGTCTGGTGGGGGTGAGAGGTCCTGGTCTGGTGGGGTGAGGCTGGGGTGGTAGTGGTGAGGGGGGTCCTGGTCTGGTGGGGGTGAAGGGGTCCTGGTCTGGTGGGGGTGAGGCTGGGGTGGTAGTTGCGAGGGGGGTCCTGGTCTGGTGGGGGTGAAGGGGTCCTGCTCTGGTGAGGGTGAGGCTGGGGTGGTAGTGGTGAGGGGGTCCTGGTCTGGTGGGGGTGAGAGGTCCTGGTCTGGTGGGGGTGAGGCTGGGGTGGTAGTTGCGAGGGGGGTGAGGGGGTCCTGGTCTGGTGGGGGTGAAGGGGTCCTGGTCTGGTGAGGGTGAGGCTGGGGTGGTAGTGGTGAGGGGGTCCTGGTCTGCTGGTGATGAGGCTGGGGTGGTAGTGGTGAGGGGGGTCCTGGTCTGGTGGGGGTGAGGCTGGGGTGGTAGTGGTGAGGGGGTCCTGGTCTGGTGGGGGTGAGGCTGGGGTGGTAGTGGTGAGTGGGTCCTGGTCTGGTGGGGGTGTGGCTGGGGTGGTAGTGGTGAGGGGGTCCTGGTCTGGTGAGGGGTAAGTGGGATCCTGGGCTGGTGGGGGTGAGGGGGTCCTGGTCTGGTGGGGGTGTGGCTGGGGTGGTAGTGGTGAGTGGGTCCTGGTCTGGTGGGGGTGAGGCTGGGGTGGTAGTGGTGAGTGGGTCCTGGTCTGGTGGGGTGTGGCTGGGGTGGTAGTGGTGAGGGGGTCCTGGTCTGGTGGGGGTGAGGCTGGGGTGGTAGTGGTGAGGGGGGTCCTGGTCTGGTGGGGGTGTGGCTGGGGTGGTAGTGGTGAGGGGGTCCTGGTCTCGTGGGGGTGTGGCTGGGGTGGTAGTGGTGAGGGGGTCCTGGTCTGGTGGGGGTGAGGGGGGTGTGGGGGATGAGGCTGGGGTGGTAGTGGTGAGGGGGTCCTGGTCTGGTGGGGGGTAAGTGGGATCCTGGTCTGGTGGGGGTGAGGGGGTCCTGGTCTGGTGGGGGTGTGGCTGGGGTGGTAGTGGTGAGTGGGTCCTGGTCTGGTGGGTGTGAGGCTGGGGTGGTAGTGGTGAGAGGGTCCTGGTCTGTTGGGGGTGTGGCTGGGGTGGTAGTGGTGAGGGGGTCCTGGTCTGGTAGGGGGTGAGGCTGGTGTGGTAGTGGTGAGGGGGTCCTGGTCTGGTGGGGGGGTGAGGCTGGGGTGGTAGTGGTGAGGGGGGTCTTGGTCTGGTGGGGGTGAGGGGGGGTCCTGGTCTGGTGGGGGTGAGGGGGGGGGTCCTGGTCTGGTGGGGGTGAGGCTGGGGTGGTAGTGGTGAGGGGGTCCTGGTCTGGTGGGGGTGAGGCTGGGGTGGTAGTGGTGAGGGGGTCCTGGTCTGATGGGGGGGTGAGGCTGGGGTGGCAGTGGTGAGGGGGGTCTTGGTCTGGTGGGGGTGAGGGGGGGGTCCTGGTCTGGTGGGGGTGAGGGGGGGGGTCCTGGTCTGGTGGGGGTGAGGCTGGGGTGGTAGTGGTGAGGGGGTCCTGGTCTGGTGGGGGTGAGGCTGGGGTGGTAGTGGTGAGGGGGTCCTGGGGTGGTAGTGGTGAGGGGGGTCTTGGTCTGGTGGGGGTGAGAGTGTCCTGGTCTGGTGGGGGTGAGGCTGGGGTGGTAGTGGTGAGGGGGGTCCTGGTCTGATGGGGGTGAGGCTGGGGTGGTAGTGTGTGAGGGGGGTCCTGGTCTGGTGGGGGTGAGGCTGGGGTGGTAGTGGTGAGGGGGGTCCTGGTCTGGTGGGGGTGTGGCTGGGGTGGTAGTGGTGAGGGGGGTCCTGGTCTGGTGGGGGTGTGGCTGGGGTGGTAGTGGTGAGGGGGTCCTGGTCTGGTGGGGGTGAGGGGGGGGTCCTGGTATGTTGGGGAGGGGGGGGGGGAGGATGTTGTTGGTGTTGTGTTAATACTGTTAACAAACTGCGTGCTCTTAAGGTTAGTGTCTACCATGACCTTTCTCTTACCACCATAACCTGTGGTGGGAAACGGCTCTGGCGAGGTTATGTATTAATGGAGCGCCGCTCTGCTCCTTATTGTCCAAACTGTATTGTCCCTCATACGGTCGTGCATATCCTTCTTGAAAGTCCTGACTTCCAGGATGTGATCTTTCTTTCCGGTCCTACGGGGTCACTTGTCCCTCGATTGAATACTTGGGGAATCGGATACCATTGATATCGTTCGCCTTGTGCACTTCTGTTTTCATATTGGCATTCTTAGTGATATTTAGTACCTTTGTGAATCTTCTGCACTGTGATGGTTATCTTGAGATGATTTCGGGGCTTTAGTGTCCCCGCGGCCCGGTCCTCGACCAGGCCTCCACCCCCCGGAAGCAGCCCGTGACAGCTGACTAACTCCCAGGTACCTATTTACTGCTAGATAACAGGGGCATTCAGGGTGAAAGAAACTTTGCCCATTTGTTTCTGCCTCGTGCGGGAATCGAACCCGCGCCACAGAATTACGAGTCCTGCGCGCTATCCACCAGGCTACGAGGTCCCCCTTGCCATA